TTAATCCACCCCTCAAATCCCTCTTAAATGAACCTCAACAAAATTTTGAAGTTACACACTCAAATTTTGATATGAACAACAATTATAGCATTAGCTTAGTATCCTTCTTTTATTTTTATCATATTTATTCTCCGTTTAATAGCATCATATTATTGTATTTAAATAGATAATTTTTATTTTTTAAATTAATAAATATATTGAAACTTTTAGAAATAGTTTTTTAAATAAATAATATTTTCACTGATAAAACATATGTTTATAGTACTAAATTATTAGTGTGTCTAAATTGAGGTTAAAAATATGTATGTATTTTATTTTTCTCAATTAAAATAAAGATTTAAATATTTTTTTAGTTCCTCAAATTTATGGTAAGTTTATTTTTAGTCTCTCAATTTTAAAATTGAGTTTTTTTAATTTATGTAATTTTAATAAATTTTGTTTTAGTTTTTATACTCAATTTTTTTAGGAAATCTATTAAGTATTGTCACATAAGATATATTTATTAGTGTTCCTGTTAATAAAAATATTACATTAAACTCAACTGGTATTGCCTAATTGTCTTAACTTATCATTTATATATATATTATTGGTAACCTAAGGAAATAAAATAAAATTTTTAAAAGTCGGATAGATTAAAATGAATAATTTTAAATTTAAGAAAAAAAACAAATTTATTCAAAATTAAAAAATTAAAAAATATGCAAGCCTAGAATAAAAAATGTAGAAACTACACTAAAAGATTAAAACACACGCCAACAACTGCGTTATTCATTTTGTCATTTTTTTTAAGTACATTTCATTGTTTTACACTTTCGGTGCATATTCATTTTGTCATTTCGTCAACACTTTATTATATAACTTTTTTTACTAAATTACCATTTTTTCATTTTTCTTAATAATAATAATAATGTTTTTATTACTAAAAAAAATTTAATGTTGTTGTTATATTTATTATTTTATTTTTATGAAAAATATTTTTATCATTCAATCAATTCAAATGAAGACCATTAGTGTTGTACAATATCAAACCAACGCAAATTGTTATATAGTAATGAAGTGATTTTGCCAATCCAATTAAACTTCAAAAGTGACAAATGCTTCACTATAGCATGCTGAAATTGGTTAAATTTTTTGTTTAGATTCTGAGATGAATTAATTCTCAAATCAACAATTTATTTTATCAAGAGTTTGCAAATAAATAAAATTGATTAAAAAATAAAAAATAGACGCAACAAGCTATCAGTAGCAATTTGTTCAACTCTTCCTTTAAAGAGAAACATTCATGTATGTAAAATTCTAACTATTTTAAATATGAGGAGTTCTATGGTGGCCCACCTTTATAGGTGGTTTACCATCGTTAGATTCATTTTGTCCTATAATAATACCATGTAGGGTTTTATTTTATGCTTTAAGGTTTGATGCCAACAGGTTGCGCAATGACATGCATTTCTGTGACTTGTGCTTGCATCCCTGATGCTACTGAATCTGCAAATAAAACACCAGAGTCGTACGTAAGGAAGAAGAGAAGAAGAAAAAGGAGAGGGGAATAAGTGGCGTCGTCGTCAAAAATCATCTCCAATGACGGTGCATGGTTGAAAGCGGTGGTTCCAAAGGTAGTGTAGGGTGGTTAGTTAAAAAAAAAAAAACTAATATTTTAATATATAATATAGAGGGTACATCTTAATAATCCAAGTCTCAAATTAAATTAATCTAAGGGACATAAATAATGGTGCATGGTGAATCACCTATATAAGTGGATCACCCTATAGTTTTTATCTTAAAATGCATTATAAAAAATTAAGATAATTATGAGATGCATACACATCAATTATTATCGGTTCCAGTTAAAATGCTTGAATAAGTTCCTTTAGAAACACTTTTCGAGAAGAAAAATAAGAAAAAGATGTAGAATTTTGAATGATTTTGTGGTTACTACTTACAAAGATGTGTAAATCCGATACAAGGGAGTTCCATGGATCTAAATAAGGTTGTCACAAATCGGAGTACACGGTATATACACAACTACAGATTTAGGGTGTCCTGTGCACATTAGGGCGAAAAATGGTTTATAGTAGACTATGAAGGATCAGTACTAGAATTTGTCATGACCTCAATATTTTTGGATTCAATTATTACACCTTAGAATGATAGTTTTAATGACGGAGGGGAAGGAGGTTGGGGATAGTTTAGGTTTGGGCCACGAAGGATTTCCTTGTCTTCATGGGACTTTGAAGTTGTTGTGGAAGACTAACTAAAGACAATATTGAAGGTGCTTTTCACTATGACAAACAATGTTCATAAATGCTCTAATTAGGGATGGCAATGGGGCGGGGCGGGTACAGGTTTCATGATACCCGTTCCCGTCCCCGCGAATCAAACTCATTCCCGTCTCCGTACCTGTACCCGTCGAGTATGTGATTTTCATCCCCATCCCTGTCCCTGTTGGGTATCGGGTATACTCGTACCCGTACCCGTACCCGTCAAATTTTTTATTTTTATT